AATCCACCCTTCGCAAGGTCCTGTCGGAGATGATGATCGAACACAACCACTTTCTCGATCGAGTGTGCAACGTTCCTAACGAATCGCGGAAACCCGATCCCTGGACGATGGACATGCTGCAATTCAACGGCTACGAGCACGGCATGCGACCGGACGTCGGCATCGAAGTGCGGCGGTGCGAGTCACCCGACTGCCTGTCCAGGTACGTTTCCGGCGGATTCACGCTCGCCGAGTGTCTGAACGCGGACGCCGCCAAAGTGTTGATGGGCGGCGGCGACCTGACGAGTATCGGAGCGTCGAATCACTACGGAAGGCCCTATTGCGTGCTGTGCACCATAAACAACGTGTACCAGAGATGCATCGATCCGCTAGGAAACAGGAAGGTCGATCTCGTCGAGTATGCAACTTCGTTCTCTTTTCGATTCGTCGACGTCAAACCCGAATATCAGGTCGAGTGTCGTCTGATTTAACCGAGACGGGCACGCAGTTCGCATATCGCTACGTCAACGTGGACGTCATCTTGCCGAAGCTCAGATGGGTCCAAGTCGAGGGATCGAATCTGCACAGGATCGATTTCAGCGTTCTCTCGTGATTTATTTCTATGTTGTTATTTTCTTAACAGATTCAGCCACACACACTTTGAAATCGATGTTAAACATGATTGTAAATAAAGATTCGAAAAACGTAATTTATTGTTACCAAGAGTGTTAATTTTATTGTCTGTTCTTGATTCTTAATCTACGTAAGAAAAAATACTGTGTATATTTATCTATCTGTATATCTACCTATTTATCTATCTAAAAAAAAAGAAAGAGGGAGAAAGTTTAACGTCTGAAGTTGTGACCGTATAATATCAGAGCATACTTGCAGCCTCTCCGACCTCCCCGATTGAAAGCGGCCACGAAATCTTCGTTCAGAGTCATGGACATCGGCGCCACTCTCGTCACCGGTCTGTCTCTCGCCATCCGAAGTATCTCCTCCGTCGCCATGTTCGGATAAGTCTGTCTCACCACCCGCTCGTAATCCTTGAACACGGCGACCTGGATCGCCACCGTGATAGATTCGTCCGTGTCCGGCGCCAACGTGTTCGCTATGATGGAGTGCAGGTTGCTCCCGCTTCGATTTTCGCCGGCTTGTGTGAGGCATTCGTGCAGGCTCTTGTACACGTCGCCGAGGACGGCCTGCGTGTGGATGCCAGATTCCATCTTGTACCTGTAGCTGAAGTTCTTGACGAAGGGAAGGTTGTGGGTTCGGAGAAACGTAGCGAAATTCTCGATGGCTTCTATCGGTCTCGTGGACCCTCTGTAAGCGAACCGAACGACGTTGCCGCGTTCCCAATGCTTGACGATCAGCTCCATCAC